GCAGGAGAGGTAAGAGAAAGGGATTAAAAGGAGTATAAAGAAACTTTTAGAGGTGATAGATATATTCTCTATCTTAATTATGGTGACAGTTTCATGTGCGAATACAAACATCAGATATTTTCAAACTGTAGTTTGAAAATATGTGTGTGTGCAGTTTTTGAACATCAATTATGCCTCAAGTATACTTTGAGTAAGTTTTGTATCAATTATACCTCAATAAAGCTATTTTAAAAAATGGCTGAAGACAATGAATAGCCATTAACAACTTTTAAGACAGAACAACACAAGTAAATGTGTTTTAGGAAAAAAGATAACTTGGGTGGCAATGTGGAAGACAGAGGGATGTGAAAGAGGCTAAAACATGATTTTTTTTAATCCTCACCTGAGGATATACTTATTGATTTACAGAGAGATGGGGGAAAGGGGGAACAGAGGCACGCACAGAGAGAGAAACACACACACATCAGTGTGAGAAACATCAATTGGTTGCCTCCTGTACGCACCTGACCTGCAATCTAGGTATGTGCCCTGACCAGGAATCAAACTCTTAACTTTTTGGTGCATAGGACGAAGCTCCAACCAACTGAGCTACCCAGCCAGGGCTAAAACAGGATTTTAATCAGGAATCTATTGTAAAGTCCAAGTAATAAAATGAGAGCTTACAGAGACATCTGTAATACTTTCAACAATAACAATAATTTTTTTTTTAAATGAGAGCTTAAGCAAGTCAATCTCTTTCCCCTTTTCTCTTACCTGTAAAATAGGGTACTACCTATGTTACAAGGTAATTATAAAGAACAAGTGGGCCCAGCCGGTGTGGTTCAGTGGCTGAGCATCAACCCATGCACCAAGAAGTTGCCAGTTCGATTCCCAGTCAGGACACATGCCCAGGTTTCGAGTTTGATCCCCAGTGGGGGGCATGCAGGAGGCAGTCAATCGATGTTCTCTGTCATCCATGTTTCTCTCTCACACTCCCTTCCTCTCTCTAAAAAAAAACAAGTGGAATAATATACATAAAAATGCTTTTGAAAGTCCAATATACAGATCTTATATCATAGAAATCTACACCTGAAACCTATATTATCCTATTAACCAATGTCACCCCAATAAATTTAATTTTTTGGGGGGGTACGTGTCCCTAGTGGGAACTGAACCCGGGACTCTCTGGTCCATAGGCTGATGCTCCAACCGCTGAGCCAAACTGGCCAAGGCCCAATAAATTTAATTTAAAAATGCTTTTGAGCTATACAAACGTTAAACTATTATTATTGCAATTATATATACAATTCCCCTTGTCCCTTTCTTCTAATCATAGTACATCAACAGTTTCCTAACTCCTACCATGCTCTCAAATATGAGGTCAGTGTTCTCTTTAGGTAGATTAAGTATCAGAACCTTCCTGGACTACAGGAGTTTTGGCATTTATAAAAACTGTGTATTTAGTACAAATCTAAAAGAGAAAAGTGTAGCATTTATAGCTCCTGGCCTCATTCCCTGTATCACATATAGGGCTGATTACAGACACTAAAGTTTTCCCCCAGAGATTTAAGGACCAAACATTTAAGGAAAAAAAATATATCTGTTCATCACCTCCTTACCCAACAGTCTTTTCATTTCCTACCCCATACCTCATCCATAGACATATCCCACACTCTGCATATTTCATTCTCCATTTCTTCATCAAGTTCCATCTGCTGCTCCTCATCATCTGAGCTGGATTTGGTGTTTTCAGGGCTAACAATCTTCAGACACACAAAAGATAAAAAGAGATGAACAAAAGCTGTCCATAGTACTCCCCAACTAGTATTATTTCATAATCATTTAGCAGTCACCAAGATGCTACCCTCAAAGTGTTTTCTCTTGCAAAAACTTTGTTTTAAAAAAAATCAGTATCTTAGGTAGATCTATTCATTCAACATGCATGGAGCAAATAATGTTGCTAGGCACGAGGGTAGAAATACAAAGATGAGTAAGATGTAATCCCTTGCTTTCAAGCAGACTTGCAAACTGATCATTACCACAAAAAATGACTGATTCAACTGAATTGTGGACAGAGTTGTGAGGGCAAAAATGATGGACCAATGACCTATGCCTGGGAGAAGGTAGGGAAAATTCTCTTAGGTGATATTTAAGCTACATCTCTGGGGAAGAAGAGCAGTTTGTTGTGTGAAGAAGGGGAGGAGAGCATATGGAGGAAAGTACAGGAGTTCAGAGTTAAGGGCCAAGCATGTTTGGGGGATGGCAAGTTTATGAAGCTGGAAAGGTTGAAAAAAGCCCTGAATTCCAAGCTAAGAGATAGGCATTTTTCTCCTGTAGACAAAGGGAACTCTGAGGAGTTTCCATGAACAGTTATTTTGTTTATTTGTTTTTGTTTCTATTCTGGCAGCTGTGTGGAGATGGACTGGAAAGGAGATGCTGGAAGTAGGTAAAGGAGTTGGGGAAATGTAGGGAGAGGAAACTTCACACTTAGTGACCGCCTCCCAGAAGCCAAACACCATGGTAAGCACTCTATGGCCATTACACATATTATCATCCTACTGTAGAGAAACTGGGAAAGAAATCGAGACCCGGAGCGACTAATTTGCCCATCGACACTCTACCTGTAGGCGATGAAACCGCACTTCTGATATCAGATCTCTATGACCTCAACATCACCATTTATTCTACCACCACAAGTCCACGACATAGGTCAATTAGGACCTAGACTTCGGAAACGACAGTGGGAAAGGGGAGCAAAACCCGAGCAATGTATTTACAGGATCATGTATTTTTGGAAATTTTGCAAAAGTGAAATTTTAACCGCAAGCGCTCCAGCATCCCTGTCATTGCACCCCTTTTGTGCCGAGGGCCCCCGGGAGTGGCTCCGGCAAGTCGGGGGTCTGGGGAAGCTGCCAGGTCAGGGGTCGTGGTGGAAACCACGGCTCCGGGGCAGGAGGCTGCCAGAGTCGGGGTCGGAGATGGGGGACGGAGGGAACCCCATGCGGCGCGAGTTTCCACACCTGGATAAGCCCGCTGAGGACGCCGAAGAGCCAGTGCTTGCTGTACACCGTGCTCCCTATGCAGTCTCCCCCGGCCACCTCCTCCTCGTCGTCCTCCTCCCGAGCCGGCGGCGGCGGCGAGGGGTTACGGTCCATGATTTAGCGACCACAGGAATGGAGGAGCCGCGCCGGAAGCTGCCGGAGGAGGCGAGAGGCCTTCTGGAGCCAGAGGGCCTCGCGCTGCTCTCGCCACAGCGCCCCCTGCTGCCCAGAGCCCTGCCGTCCTGAGTGCCCTCCCAATGTTCCCATCAGACAAAGGAGCCCAGATGACTCCATCTCCCCCACCCCACTCTACCAGGACCCAGGCATGGTCACATTCACAATTGCTATTGGTCCCCCTCCCTGGACCATATATTGCACCTCCCACGTATTCTGTAGTGGACTGTACAGGACATGTTTATTTTGCCATGTGACCTCTGCACCTGTGAGTCACCACAGTGGGCAGTAAGAGCATACCTAGAGACCATTCCTACTCCAGGATGGCATTCGACAACTCGGTTATACTAGGAAGTGACTGCAAATCACAGGTCCCACTAAATGCAAACAAACTGTATTCCCAATGCAACTTCTCCTTAGTCAGATCCCTAAAATGCCTATGACCACCCCAGTGATCACTCAACACAAAAAAGAAATGTGATGGTGGGATGTTGGAATGGACAGAGTCCGAGGCATTAACTGCTTGAAGTTAAAATATTTTACTTTTTTAGATTTTACAAAGGTGTTAGACCATGTAAACACTTTTTTTGAGTCCCTCCCAGGATCCTGGAATGGTCCCATATAGGTGAAGAGCCCTTGCAGCTTAAGCTTTGTCAGTGTCAGAGTAAATCTGACTCTATCTACATGCATGTCTGATAGGACTTTACAAAAGTCACACAGAATGCAGGATGATTCTTTGTAGCACTGTCCCATAAATTGTAAGATTTAAAGGATGGCCCACCAACTAAATACTCCCAACCAGAAATGTCCCCAGAAATATCCAAAAGCTGGGAGGGAAAGGGGCTGGGTGCAATGCTGTCCTGTTGAGAACTAATGTCTGGATCTCCCTCTGCCCCTGGACTGACAAGTTGGGGGAGGAACTATGCTCATGCCATTCTCTAAGAAAAAGGCTACTTATCTCTTTACAGTTATCTTGACAGAATGATATAATCTCCTCCGAACTGCTGTCTGCTTTTTTTCTCAGCCCTTTATCACCTCTGCTTCCCCTTATAGATTTACCCCATAGACTTGTGAGAATCAACTGGGTGGTACATGGAATACATCCGTTGAAGGAATGACTAAGTGAACTAATATATGCAAAAGTGTTTTATAAGCTCTAATCGTCAATACAACTCCACAGCAAATGGTTAAGAATGGTGGTTCTAGCGCCAAACCAGCAATGTGACTTGGATATATATTTTAATTGTGCCTCCAGTTTCCTCAGCTATAAAATGTGAGGATCCCATGGGATAACACAAGAAAGCATCTGGTCCATAGTTAATTTGCTGAATATTAACTGTCATTATCATAAACATCCTACTACTAACTTGTGTTAGGAGAACTTTAAAAACAACCAGCAAGAAGACTATAAATGACTAACTGACAAGAACAGATACAGATTTTCAAGAAGGCATGAACAAAGTGCTATGGAGGCATTTACTGTCAAGGTTAAGGGTTTGGGGGTGACAAATGTACACTGAGGCCAGGATGCTGAAAGGCTTGGTAATAGCAGTGTAACCAGAGGGGCCTGGAGAGGAGCAGGTCGGACTCAGGAAATGGTTGGTGTCTGCCCTGTATGACACTGGGATTGTGTCCCCTACACCAAAATACACAGGCACAGACTCGGCCTTCATGTGGATGTTCATCCGTCACCCCTTGGTACTAACAGGCAATCCTTATAACAAAGAATAACACACAGTTTTTAACATTCAAACTCTTAAGCATTTATTAGGCAGCTATTATGTGCCCCTGTCAGCATCTGGGGATGTACATACAAGTCAATGACTCCTGTCCCTGACCCCAGGGGCTCACAGCCCCATCTCCTGGGAGCAGAGTGAAGATCAGTACTTTTTGGGCAGGCCAGCAGGTCTGTAGCGATTGGGGTTGTTGCCTCTCCGGCCCCATCTGTTGGCTTCCTGGTCAGCCCTCGAGTCCCTCGTTCCATGGCCACTGGATCCGTACTTAAACAGGTCAGTGATTCTCTGAGAACCCTCTCTGGCATCGCTGGAATGGAGGAGGGCAGGTAAGAGGCGAATCGGGGGCTGATGAGAACCAGCCCCACACTCCGAACTCTCCCCTTTCCTAGGGATTAATGACTGAGAGGAGCCAGGAAGGAAACTAAACACTGACCCTGCCCAGACACAGCCCACTCAGCCCCGGGGAATCCCCACACATTGGGTGGACAGCACCCATAGGGGAGGGTGGGAATCACCCATTCCATTAGCCTTGCTCCGGCTCTGTCAGAGCCCACTCTGGGCATAGGGGCAGGGTTGGCAAGAGGAGGACGGGCCACAGTCTCCAGAGGAAATTTCCATCCATGGCCACCAAGCTCTGCTCACCTGTCCTGCATCCCCAGGAGCCCAGGTACCTGATCACTTTAGCAGCCCAGGCGCCCCCTGGTCCCCTTCGTGCAGCGTCATAGTTCCCCCGGGCATGGAAGTATTTGTCTGCATTTTTGTAATTGGCTTCTCTCATGTCAGAGTAGGCTCTCCACATGTCTTTGGCCCCTGGGAAGGAAGGGAAAGAGTGAAGTGAAGGTTATCACATCTTGGCATAATAGAGGAATAAAAGTTTCCTTCCCATTGATTCTAAGATTTTGGTTATCGAAAAGCCCTTGGAGACTATATTGTCAGGAAACACATATTTCTTTTTTTTTTTTTTTCATATTTCTTTATTTTTCACTTCTTTAGGTTAATGTTATGAAAATCACATTTCTTGCCAATTTTATTCTGTTTCTCTCCATTCTAAGTTCTGCTGCTACTTTGTTCTGGCTGTGTGATGTGCGTAAAGGAGAGGTGGGATGGTCCTGAAGGGATGTGAGGTTGTGCAAGGAACCTCCGCCTGGAAAGGTGCAGGGAACCCCTGACTGAGATGTGAGAACAACGGTGATTCTGAGGTTCATGGGCACAGTGCCCCCAACCTAGTCAATGGGAGACATTCATCCCTGTGAGCAAAGTGAGGACAACTGGTCCTGGGGACATCGGAATGTCTGGGCACATTTGGCACCTGAGCAACTGTCGGAGTTCAATACAGGTGATAAAGGTGCTGTGTACCCTACAAGAGCTTTTAAGAAATGGGGTAATAGATGCAGAACAAGGGCAAGTGAACCACCCGCTCTAAAGTTCAGTGTCCTCCCAATAAAAGGGGCAAGTATTGCCTCTCTCAGAAGATCTGAGAAAATTCTGTATAATGCCGAGAACATTCTAGGTGTTCATTGTACCATCACTTCTCTGGTCCTTAGAAAGGGTGGGGCCAAAAATGAATGAATGAATGAATGAATAAATAAATAAATAAATAAATAAATAAATAAATAAATAAAATAAGGGAACTAAACAGAGATGAAAATCAGGGAGTTATGGATGAAAGGAGTCTAATCAAGCTAGAATAAAATGGCAAAGATTTTTTAAAAAATTAAATAGGAAAAGGGCAAAATGTACAGTTGAAATGAGAGCTTATGTGATACCTCCATGAGATAAGACATGTCCATGCATTTATTCTTTCTGGTGTTCAGAAAGATAGCTTCGTTGAGAGGTACAGCATATTTACTCTGCGTTACTGATCTAAATAGATTCTCGGAGTCCAGACTTGCAGAACAAGTGTTTCAGAAATGCCCGACACATTTTGTCACTCGTGGGCAGCAAACCTGGAGGTGGCGATTCCCAGGATGTAGTGTGCATGACGTCAACTGGGGTGCTCAGTAAAGGCTGAATTTCAGCCTCAACCCAGAAATGGTCATTTAATGAAGGGGTGAGTGCGGACCCAGACATCGGCATTTCACAAAGCTCTCAGACCCCAGTGATTCTCGTGTCTGCTGTCCGGAAGTTGTGAAGTTATTCAGACGATCACAGAAAAATAATGACACAGTAAGATTCTATGAATGGAACCATTCTTGCCACTTTACAATGGGTATATAGCTCTTGCTGTCAGCTTCTGGCCAGGTCTCAGCCCCAGCAGAATCATCAACATGCAGTTCATTGTGCCTCTTATTGTAGAGGGAGGTGCTCTAGAGAAGTTTATTTCAAAGGCACCGTATCCCCACATTTGTCAATTGCTCAGATAAAGAACAGAATATGTGTTCACAAACTCCTCACTCTTCCACGTGCAGTCTTGTCTGGGAGGCAGTCTAGTATCGTGGTTAATAGTAAGGTTTGGGGAGCTCAGCAACCTGGGTTACGTCCTGCTCTGCTTCGGGACTTTGTCAGGTATCTGATCTCTCTGTGCGTTAGTTTCTGTTAGGGGGTAATGGTAGCTGCATCGCAAGATGAAGGACTAATTCCTGAGGCTGAAAACATGTTCATTCATACATGGAAATCTCTTATAACAGTGCCTAGCAGGTGTTAAAAGCTCAGTTAACCTTGGTTGTAAAGACTAAGTGGGGTGGGGTGTGGGAATACACTCTACAAGTTTGATGCACCCACTTCATGGCTACCTGAGACATAGAATCGAGCTGTTCCTAATTTCCCACTAGGGGGCTGTAGAGCCCAGTTTGTATTTAGGGAACGTGATGGCTGCGTCTAGATCTCCTCCACACTTGTGATGAAAGTTGGGGCTTAAACCTAATGTGGCCTGAGACCCGGGGGTCCCCACAGAAGGATGCAAAGCTGGCCTGAAAAGCCTGGGGTTGGGAGAAACAAGACAGACAATCTTACATACAACTAGAAGTAAATAAGCCCTAGAGATCAAATGTACAGTGTAGTGAAAATAGACAACAATATTGCATTCTAATCATACAACTTGCTAAGAGGCTAGATCTTAATTACTCCAACTACTAAAAAGGAAGGATAATTATATAACATGATTGAAGGGCTAATTTTCTCTACAAAGGCAGTCATTGCAATTTATAGATGTATTAGCATGTTATATACCTTAAATCTACACAATGATATATATCAAATATATTTCGATTAAGAAAAAGTCTGAGGAAGCCCTGTCATGAAAACAGATTCTTTTCTACCCACTGTGGCCTTTGCCCAGTGGGGATGTGGCCTCTGCTCAGGTGAATCCTGGGGGAAGCCCGATGCAGCCTCCACAGCCTCCGGTCCTTACCTTGACCAGCTTCCCTGAGGAATGTGCCCCATCCTTGGCTGCTGACGCCCAGGACCAGGGAGCAGAAAACGACGATCATGGAAAGCTTCATCGTGCTGTACAGTGAAGGAGACACACCAAGAACAACACATTTTACTTGGTTTGGTTTATTTTTTTTCCAGGGGGTAATGTTGACCCATTCTTGTGTTCTAAAGATAAACCCAACACAGTTATATATATAAATATATGTAGAGAACATACAACTGCGTGTGCATATATGTGTATGTGTAGATAGATGATATAGTTAGAATTCCAGAGGCTCTAGTTCTCCATTTGCTTGTGTCTCACTACAATCCCCGTGACTTCTTGGGTGAGAGAGAGACTGCAATGGGCTTGTGTATAAACCGATTTCCATTTCAGTCATCCCCTCTCAGCCCTGAAACCCAACTGGACAGGCCTTTTCCAAAAGACATTTAGAAGTCAGTGTCCGCTATACCTCTCTGTAATATGAGATGAGTTAATCTGTAAATATTGGTAGGATGCTTGCTGTACCCATTACTACCTCACACAGAAGAAGTATATGACAAAATCTCTACCCCCAAATATTCACATCTGGTGAATGCTAATTGTCAAAACAATAGACGCAGGAAAGATGCAGAGAGCTGTGGGGAAGCACAAGAATGCTGGCGGGGAAAGAGAATCCGCAAAGAAGAGAATTGGAGGAAAGTTCTAGCACCTCACCTTGGCTGTCCGGTGCTGCTGAGGCTCCTGGTGAAGCTGCCTGTGCCGCCTGCCTGGAGGACGTGCCTGGTGCTATATATGCTGATGCTTTGCTCGTGGGACCAATGGGAAGATGGGTTTGAAGCAATGCATTGAGATGAGGAAATTCCTCTTGGTCAGAAACCAGCATCCAGAACACGATGGTTATTGTTCACACACATCTAAGTTTCCCAGATTGTGCAACCTGGCAGCTCTCAGGGATGGAGCAAGTTGGGATTTTTTGCCCATTTTCACTCTTACACCTGGTGAGAAAGTTTGCTTTTCCCCTGCACAATAATGTGCTGACATTTGCAGTTAAGAGTAATCAATATTAAAAAGAGATTTGACTGAAGAATGTGAGAGTACAGAGCAAGTGGAACAGCAGAATGGTCTCCATTGCAAGGGGACAGTGCAGGATGAAGCCGGGACCCTAGGGTGCAGGAGGAGGAAAGGAAGCACCGACTACCCTGGAAAAGAAAACGTCCAGCACCCACGTGGTGTGGACTCTGCCCTGGAAAAGGGCGTCCTCCAGACTCAAGTGTGCTCACGATCAGTTACTATGGAAGGTCATGATGGCAGGTTATATTTAGAGGGCACTGGAACCCAGTAATGTACGGTAGAGTGGAAATTTTCTACAATGTTGTGGAGAAGTGAAACACCATTCAAATGATCAGGAAATGGCCCACTGGCCCTAATGATCAGAACAGAAGAATCAGGAAGGATGCAGAGAAAGCTGGGATGAAGCATAAGAATGCTGGGAGGGTGCGATGTTAGAGAACGGCAATTTCAACCGGAAAAGTCAGATGGGGCTTGACTGCAGGAGTTTAGTAACATAATTTTGGGAAGAAATGTCAGGCAGTTGCTAACCTTGAGATGGAATCCATAGTCCATTCACCTGCCCCATCCTTGTACCTTCATCCAAAAGGGAGACTTTAAAGGCCATTGCATTTCCCTATAGAAGAAAGAATGATGGGTGTGTAATGTGGTAGAGATGAGAGTGGATAGATCTGGACCTTCCTACACTAACCTAGAGTAGGCGCTGACTAGAGCCAGAGGACAGCAGTAGGGGAGTCAGACCCAGCCTAGGGAATGTGCCTGGAATGCTTGCTGAGAGAAGAGGAATGTGGGCAGTAGTGTGCAGCCAATTTCCAGAGCCTTCCTTCTTAACAAAACTGAAACTCTGCCCATTAAAGAACTCTTCCTTTCCTCCTCTACCCAGCCCTGGCAACCACCATTCTACTCTCTGTCTTTATGATTTGGACTATTGTAAGTACCTCATATAGATGGAATCATATGGCATTTGTCTTTTTGTGATGGGTTTATTTCACTTAGCATAACATCTTCAAGGTTCATCCATATTGTGGCATGTGTCAGAATTTCCTTCCTTTTCTTTTTTAAAAAAAATTTTCTTTATTGATTTTTGAGATAGGAAGGGAGAGGGGGAGAGAGAGAGAAACATCAATGAGAGAGAACATCGATTGACCGCCCCTTGCATGCCCCACACTGGGGATCGGGCCCACAACCTGGACATGTGCCCTGACCAGGAATGGAACTGGTGACCTCTTGGTGCATGGGTGGACGCTCAACCACTGAGCCACGCTGGCCAGGCTTTCCTTCCCTTTTTAAGACTGAATCATATTCTGTGATAGGTGTATACCACATTTCGTTTATCCATTCATCTGTCAGTGGACACTTGGGTTGCTTCCACTTCTTGTCTGTTGTGAGTAATGCAGCTATGAACACGTTGCACAAATGTCTCTTTGAGACCCTGCTTTCAATTCTTTTGGGTGTATACCCAGAAGTAAAATTTCTAGATCACATACATGGTAGTTCTAATTTTAATTTTTTTAGTAACTGCCATACTGTTTTTCATAGAAGCTACACCATGTTATGTTCCCACCAACATACACAAAGGTTTCTATTTCTCCACATCCCCACCAATATTAGTTATTTTCTGTTTGTTTGTTTTTTAATCCTGACCCGAGGATATTTTTTCATTTATCTTTAGACAGAGTAGGAGGGAGGGAGAGAAGAAGGGAGGGAGGGAGGGAGGGAGAGAGGGAGGGAGAGAGAGAGAGAGAGAGAGAGAAAGAGAGAGAGAGAGAGAGAGAAACATTGATGTGAGAGAGACACATCGACTGGTTGCCTCCTGCGCGACCCCAACCAGGGGCTGGGAACGAACCGCAACCGAGGTACATGCCCTTGGCCGGAATCAAACCTGGGTCTCAGTGGTCTGCCGGTCAACGCTCTAACTGCTGAGCTAAACTGGTCAAGGCTGCTCTCCACTTTAGACGCCAATCACTAGTCCAGGCTGTAACTGTGCTTCTGACTGATAGGCAGTACATCCCTTGTGCCCTTGACCCACTCCTTGGTTTCAATTAATTTGCTAGAGAAGCTCAGGGAACTCAGAAAAGTATTTTATTTGCTGGATTATCAATGTATTATAACAGGATGCTAAAAAGAAACAAAGGACCCAAATGGAGTCACCTTTGCTAAGCGCCACCAAGAGTGTAATTTTAAACCAACCAGTCTGGAATTCCCTGGTCGACACTGGTGAGATACTCTGGTGTAAAGAGACCCTGGCTGCCCTACCACAAAGGAAAGTGCCCCTTGCCTGAAACGCTGCTTTCTTTTCTTTTGCTAAGCACTACCTTGTCCTTCCCAGTTTCTGCCTATAAAAACCTTCCATTTTGTAAAACTTATCGAAGCACCTCTCTACTTGGTAGATGGGATGCTACCTGGTTCATGAATCACTCAATAAAGTCCATTAGATCTTCAAATGTACTCAATATAATTTTTGTTTTTTAAACAGGTTATAACTCAGGAACAGCCAGATGCACAGTGTAAGGTATAAGGAAAGGGCCAGAAGCTTCCGTGTCCTCTCCAGCTCCAGTCTCACAGAACTCCACCTGTTCACCAACCCGGAAGCTCTCTGAACCCAGTCTTATTGGATTTTTTTATTAATTAATTAGTGTTTAGTACAGATGTTTCTCCTTTTCCCCTCCTAAGCATCCTCCTCCCGATCCCATCTCCCCAGCATTGTTGTCTATGTCCGTTGGTCTTATTGGACTTCAATGAATGCTTCATAACATAGACATGATTGATTAAATCATGTGACTGAACTCAATCTCCACTCCTCACCACTCCTTGGAGGTCAGGGAGAGACTGAAAGTTCCAACCCTGAAATCTCATGGTTGGCTTCCCTGGCAACCAGCCCCCATCCATAGGTGCTTTCCAAAAGTCACTTCATTGACCTAACAAGACACCTTTATCTCTCTCACCAGTTAGACGATTCCAAGGGTTTTAGCAGCTCTGCCAAAAACAGGACAAAGACCAAATATATATGTTTTACAAATCACAATAGTATACCTTCCCATTAGCTGGATTTAGTCTTTATGGATTATGTTGAATGTGAGTCTGTATTGAGGTAAAGGGCAGAGCCCACCCTTCACTGTCAGCTTTTGTTATTACACTGTGACTGTCCAAAGACAGCCCAGAGGAAATCTCAGAAGGGAACAGCCGGACCTGGCACAGTTGTGCAGTCATTTCCCAACAGATGTTTCTAGGGCATATTACAGCAATCTCACTTACCAGAAAGGTACAGAAGGAAATTTCTAGCATTAAAGACAAATACATCACATCATTAGAATTCATTTTCCAAGGCAAAAAAAAACAAACAAAAAATTCCCTTCAGTCAAACATTTACATTGGAACAGTCTACCTGGACAATAGGCGGTGTTTTCAAATACAACTTGTTACCTCTGACTTGCCTAAACATGGGAGACAGACTATGACTCAAGTTTGCCTTACTTTTACTTCTTTTCCCCCAAACTTTACTGCTGTTTTAACAGAGTTAAAGGGTAGCACAGTGGTGGAGACCTTGCATTCTGAAGCTGGTTGTCTGGCTATATTATCTGCTCTGACTTTTTCTAAGTGAACTTGAGGACGTTATCTTCTTTCTCTAAGGTTCAGTTTTCTCACCTGTAAAACAGGTATAATTGCCATCTCTGGTTTGGCTCAGCAGTTAGAGCGTCAGCCCGCAAACAAAAGAGTCATGGGTTCAATTCTGGTCAAGGGCACGTACCTCAGTTTGAATTCTCTCCGGCTTTGGATGGGGTTTTGCAGTAGACAACCAATGGATGTGGCTCTCTCATGTCGATGTTTCTCTCTCTCTCTCTCTCTCCCCCATTCCTACTTTATCTGAAGATAAATGGAAAAATACCTTCGGGTGAGAATTAAAAAATAATAATAATACTAAATAAATAAATAAATAAAACAGGTATAATTGCAGCACTTACTCAAAGTAGTTTGAGAATTAAATAAGAGAATAAATGTGAAGCATGTAGCACATAGAGTGAGTTCAGAGCTACCTAGTAGTGGCCCTTAAATGAGACCAAACGTAGTGCATAGTGCCTATGCTGTAGGGCTGATAAATGTTAGCTGCTGTTTAAAAGGTTTAGAATATCATCGTTTCACCCAGTAGGGATCAGACCCATGTAAATTGTTTTGTATAATTCACAGAAAGTGGGAAGACCAAAGTTGAAGTACACAACTTCCTTACACGTATTAAATTTGTCACTGTCTTGGTCAAGGCTCAAACCTTATAGTCATCCTTGCTACTTCCTCTTCTCAGCGCTCCCTGCTGTAAAGAGAAAACCGTAGCCATGTCACAGAGATTGAGCAAACGTCACGCCACACCAAGGGTCAGCAGAGCTGCAGAGTGGTGGCTGAGAGCAACACTGATGCCTGAATTTTTTTATCACATCTCTTAATTGAGCTGAGAGTCTGATCAAAATGGGGGAGAATTGTAAAAAGAAAATGTCAAGCTCAAAATGGAGTCACTCGTGCTAAAAGCACATGATATGCTAAACCTATATTTAATACTTGATCCAATTGTACTTTCAACCTCTGCCAGAAACATAATCTTAATCAACTAGTCTGGAATTTTCTGGTTAACACCAAGGAGGTCCTCTGTCACTGTGGACCCTCTCTATCCCCCATAGAAAGAAGAGGCAATCTAC